TTTGTTGTCTTCTCTGGTGTACATCACTAGCTCAGTCCCTGTGTGCTAGGAAGATTCCTGCACATGCGCAGGAGTGACATCATCCCGTTCTGGGCAATGAAGACAGCCGAAGATCGGCACCCAACAGATGATGGGGATCTTTGAAAGAAAGGTAAGTTTAGCTCTGCTTTTAAGGTCCATTTTAACAGCCAGGCAACTGGAATTCCCAAAAGGAGATTAGCAATGGTAGCCTCTCTTTATCTCTCTTCACAGGTCTTCTTTACCAAAGCAACCAATCAGCCATCATTGATACTGGCTGCAGTCAGTTGAAAACTGTTTGTTCAGGGTTTTTGCACATTTCGTGTGTTTGGCGCTGACTGAATAGGTCTTAATTGCTGTTGCAGATCTGTCCTGTGATGACATTTTAAAGCCGTCAGTATTTAAATGTTTACTGAGAGTTACAGTGACCTGATTGCAGTCGGTTCCTGCTTCCTTCTCAACCCATGACTCACAGCTCCGGGATGACTTTCTGAGAAAGGAAGCGGCTTTCTATGAAGTAGTATTGCGACATATTGTATCTGCCTTCTGTACTTCTTATATAATGAGTGTTGTAAGATAGCATCTTGGTGCAGTTAGGCACTAAATATACACTTAGAAACCTGTAACTGATTACTTGCTAAAAGTAGTGATGCACTGATATTTCAGCTGACCAAAATAGGGTTATGGGCGTTTTGCCGATAGAAAAAAAAGGTGCCGATAAAATCTCGTCCCGTTGACTTCAGTGCAAAAATGCCCCCTATTGACGTCAATGTAAAAATACCTTTATAAGTTTAATTTTATATATGCTTACCAGCCACTTTTAGGTATGCCTTACTAGTGCCAAGAAAATATATCCCCACACCATTACTTGACCACCCTGAACCGTTGACACAAAGCAGGATGGATCCATGCTTTCATGTTGTTTAAGCCAAATTCTGACCCTACCATCTGAATGTTGCAGCAACCAAGTTTTCCTCTAACATCAACAAGGCATTTTCGGCCACACAACTGCCGCTCACTGGATATTTTTCTTTTTTCGGACCATTCTCTGTAAACCCTAGAGATGGGGTGTGCATGAAAATCCCAGTAGATCAGTAGTTTTTGAAATACTCAGACCAGCCCGTCTGGCACCAACCATGCCATGTTCAAAGTCGCTTAAATCCCCTTTCTTCCACATTCTGATGCTCTGTTTGAACTTCAGCAATTCATCTTCACCACGTCTAGATGCCAAAATTTCTTCCAAAAGATGTAAACACTTGCGTTTAGACACCAACCTATCAAAATAAAGCAGCTTGCACATACAATACGTAAAAGGTAACAAATATTAGCAGTAAAATGCAGCGCTATCAATATCGTAAAAGATAGGAGACTGTCACCATCCACACAACAAGAAAGCCTCTTACCAGAATATGTGACTACCCAAAGGACTGGTCAAATAACTCCGTAAATTGGTCCAACTGGTGTGACACGGACTCATGAATGCAGGCTCCTTCTGATGATTTACCAAGCACTTCTCCAAATCATAAGATCTCTAGGCAGCAAACCTCCCATCGGATAACAAGACACCATGTAGAGAAAAGATTCCGACTCTTAATGTAGTAATTGGCTCAACCAGGAAATCTATTAAAATTGCGCTTATAAAAACTTCAGTAAAAACCAGCATGTCAGATGAGTCATTTCAAACCAACAAGATGGCCGCTGTCTTTCCAGAGTGCAATGATATCACACAGCGCAGCTCAACCGCAAGGGACTGTTTCTCGCTGGCGGGGATGATGAGCAGAGCTCAGGGGAGAAACGGGGTGGAGCTGCGCCATGTGACGTCATCACACTCGGGAAGGACAGCGACCATCTTGTCGGTTTGAAACTACTCATTTGACATGCCAGTTTTTACTCAAGTTTTTGTAAGTGCAATTTTATTAATTTTTCTGGTTGAGCTAATTACTACACTATGAGTTGGCATCTTTTCTCTACATGGTGTTTTGTTATCCGATGGGAGGTTTGCTTCCTAGAGATCTTATGATTTGGAGAAGTGCTTGTTAAATCATTGGAAGGAGCCTGCATTCAGGAGTCCGTGTCACATCAGTTGGACCAATTTACTGCGTAATGTGACCAGTCCTTTGAGCGGTCAAATTTTTTGGTAAGCGGCTGTCTTATTGTGAGGATGGTGACAGTCTCCACTTTGTAATGGGGCTCTCTCTTTTCAAGCACCAGCTTCTGACATGCCTAAATGCATTGAGTTGCTGCCATATGATTGGCTGATCATCAGTTTGTGTTACCACGCAATTGAACAGGTGTCCCTAATAGAGTGGCCGCTGAGTGTATATTTCATTTTATTTTCTGTCCAGTTTGTGTGTTACTTTCAATAAAAGTTAATTTACGTTGCTGGATTGTATTTTTTAAATTCATGTTCATTTAAATTCATCATATTAGTCAAAAAGTCAAATATAATACAATTTTATATATAAAAAAAAAATATATATATTTTTTTTTAAAACTGTCCTTTTCAGTTTTTGGCCAAATGCATCCTGAATTTTTGGTTTTGGTCCAGAATTTTCATTTCAGTGCACCACTAGCTAAAAGGTTTATACAGTGATAACCATACTGTGTAGCCCGCATAGCACAAAGATGGTGCCAGTGCATTCCAAAACTTGTGACCTTCTGCCTCTTCTTTGGAGTACTAGAGGAGGTTGGTCACCCTCTTTCTCCTTTCTGTCCAACCTATCTCCTTACAAAGCAAATGTTTGCAGATCAAAGTTGATTTAAACTTTCAGCTCATTTGGAGAAGCTGAACATAATGAGAAATTTTATTATATTAAGTAAACAGAATTTTCAATGCATGTTTAACCGCCATATAAGGAAATGACGGGCGCAAGGCGGTTCTCTCGTTCTGGGAGGACGTCATATGATGTCCTCCTACTGTAACCGCGCAATCGGTGGTGCGCTGTGTCCCTAGGACACAGCTGATCACCGATCAATGGAAAGAGCCGATGATGTCGGCTCTGTCATGTGATCAGCTGTGTCCTATCACAGCTGATCGCATGTAAATAAGGAAATGCCGGTTATCGGCATTCTTCTCCTCATGAGCTGTCACGCTGACAGCTCATGAGGAGAGGAGAGCCGGTAATCGACATTCCTCATAGGGGACATGTACATTGATCATCAGGGTTAGCAGTGTGCCCTGATGATCAGTGTAGCCCCATCTCTGCCACCTGTCAGTGCCTACCAGTGTACATCAATGCCACATATCAGTGCCCATCTGAGCTGCCTTTCAGTACTGCCAATCAGTGCCACCTAACAGTGCGCGTCAGTGCCGCCTATTAGTGTCATATATGAGTGCTGCCTATCAGTGCCACCTACCAGTGCCTCCTAATAAGTGCCCATCAGTGCAGCCTCATTAGCGCACATCAGTGAAGGAGAAAAATCACTTTTCCAACATTTTTTTTTTAATTTACAAAATTTTATAGCAGATACTAAGAAAAAAATTAATTTTTTCTAAATTTTCAGTTTTTGGTTTGTTTAGCAAAAAATAAAAAACCCAGAGGTGATTTAAATACCACCAAAAGAAAGCTCTGTCTCAAAAAAATTATAAAAATTTAATCTGGGTACAATGTTGCATGACCACACAATTGTCATTCAAAGTGCGACAACACTGAAAGCTGAAAATTGGCTTGGGCAGGAAGGGGGTATAAGTGGTTAAAGGAGAACACTGTCAGGCACCATTTGCACAGTTTCCACAGTGTGATCTCAGGAAAGCTCTGTATTTGTGGTCTTTCTCCCTCTCCCTCTCTCCCCCCCCTCTCTCTCTCCCCCTCTCCCTCCCTCTCCCTCTCCCTCCCCTCTCCCTCTCTCTCCCCCCTCTCCCCTCTCTCCCCTCTCTCCCTCTCTCCCCCCTCTCTCCCTCTCCCCCCTCTCTCCCTCTCCCTCTCCCTCCCCCCCCCCTCCCTCCCTCCCTCTCCCTCCCCTCCCCCTCTCTCTCCCCCCTCCCCCCATCTCTCCCCCCCTCTCTCCCCCCCTCTCTCCCCCCCCATCTCTCTCTCCCCTCTCTCTCCCCCCCCTCTCTCTCCCCCCCTCTCTCTCCCCCCTCTCTCTCCCCCCTCTCTCCCCTCTCTCTCCCCCTCTCTCTCCCCCTCTCTCTCTCTCTCCCCCTCTCTCTCCCCTCTCTCTCTCACTCCCCCTCCCCCCTCTCTCTCTCACTCCCCCCTCCCCCCTCTCTCTCTCACTCCCCCCCCCCCCCTCTCACTCCCCCTCCCCCCTCTCTCTCTTCACTCCCCCCCCCCCCCCTCTCTCTCACTCCCCCTCCCCCCCTCTCCCTCTCACTCCCCCTCCCCCCCCCCTCTCTCTCACTCCCCCTCCCCCCCCCCCCCTCTCTCTCACCCCCTCTCTTTCTCTCCCCCCCCCCCCCCGTGCACATGAAAGTATTTAATAACAAGGACCTGCTAGACAGCATTCAATATCAAACAGATAAACATTGTCAGTGGTATAAATGCCTGCTGATCCTGTCAGAAATCTTGTCAATTAATAATCGTCCTGTGCTGTTCACTTATACTGATTGTTTTTGGTTACATTGTTCCCAGCTATCTCTGGGGATACAGAACCCCCTTCTCTCTGTAATAAAGGAGAGTGGGAGGAGTTCTGTAGCCCTGTCCCAGGGGTAGCAAGGCTGCTGCTTTCCAAAGACAAAATACAGTGAGTGAGTCTTGTCACCGTAGGACAGGAAGTGTGTTACTGGAAGGCTGATCGGGTGACAAAGACAAAAATGCGGCTCAGCCACTTGTTTTTACTGACCCCCAACCACAAGTGTACACATGGTTTAACATTCTATCCACAACTACCGGGAGGCTATCATGCAGGCTTGTCTCTGTTTTCCCTAGAATCTGATGAAGAAATTACAACTTACATGTTTGGTTAGAATTTTCATTCATAAAGCTAGAAACCTTTATCAGATGAAGCGTAGTTGACTGGCATTTGTGTTTTGTCCACAGGGAATATTGTGGAATGGTGTCTGCCCCAGGACATGGACTTAGAAGGGGTGGAATTTAAATCTATGGCCAGTGGATCCCACAGGGTGCAGTCTGATTTCATGTAAGTGAGGTCTTAAAAATGACTTTTTTTTTTAGAATATTCTTATTAATGGTGTAAGAGATATTTTCTTTCTGTTTTCTGTATTACCTTCCCATATACTAGCCCTTGTACTGTTCTTATTGATCCATTCTGGATTTTATTTTCTCTTTTTAGCTACTTTCGGAAAGGCAGCTTTTTTGGTCTTGCTTGCTTTGCCAACATGCCGGTAGAGAGCGAGTTGGAGAGAGGAGCGCGAATGAAGTCTGTTGGCATACTGTCCCCTTCCTATACACTGCTTTATCGCTACATGCACTTTCTAGAGAACCAAGTCCGGTAAGATGGTCTTCAGTATATTGAGGGATTTTGGGATAGAAGCTACCGAGACAAGGGAAGGAAACTACGTAGGGCAAAACAAGACGGTCACTTTAAGCCTGGGTTCACACACATGCGGTGTGGCATATTGCATGTGATTCGCACAGGAACTGCACCACATTCCTGCGCAATTCACATGCGAATTCTGTGGGTGTGATTTTAGCCATACATTTTGTATGGCTCAAATCGCACTGCATCGGCACTAAAAAGGTGCAGGACCCTTTTTTTTGCTCTGCAATAGAATTAGATCGCATGGGTATTCACACCCATGCGATCCGATTCTGCACATCGCATTGTGTTTTGTGAACTGATTTTGGGGTGTTAACATACACACCCGCAGCGGTTCGCATGAACGGGGTGCAATTGTGATGTGCAGAATTCACACAGAAACCGCTGCGAATTCTGCACCGCATCAGTGTGAACCCAGGCTAATGCAGCCCTCTCCTGCAGTTTTTACTTAAAGAATGAAGGAAAGGTGAGCATGCATTTCTGGGGAGGGGGGCATTAAAGCAGACATGTACAGTAGTTTGCCTTAAAGTGAGCTCTTCATACCTGTCACGCTTCTTGCTCAGCCATCCTAGTCCTTATTACCAGAACAGGCGGTTCTAAAATCTCAGGCTAAAGTATAAGTCAACCTTTTAACTTATTTTTTCCTCCTGTTTGGTATAGAGTGTGGAAGGGTTAGAGCACCTGTCAGTTTTTTTGCAGTTTGCTTGCTGGGGAGAATTTCACACTCTTTCCTGTCTTAAATGGCACCAGTAACTCTGGGTCAGGACATGAGGTGAAGCCTTCCTAACAGGGAGACAAGACAGAAATAAAGCCTAACAAAGGTTCTAGCCCTCCCACTTTAAATCTAAAAAAAATATTTTCAGTAGACTTTTTTTTTTTTTACTTTAATCTTCATTTGCAGACTTCATATGGCAATCCTCTTGACACTGACATCCTTTTTGGGTATCGTGTATGATTTTTGGTGCCTTCTATTATTTAACTGGCTCAGGCAAATGACCTTGTGATGGAATAAAGTTTGTGGTATCTATGATTTAAATTTATTGTGAACTATTTTATGGGTTCCAGAACCATTTTGATGTCCATTTTGTTACCACTGTATTTAATTTCTGAAACTTCTTATACATAGTTTCTTTTTTTCTTTTCCTCAGGCACCAGCTGGAAATACCTGGTCACTACACTCCTTTAGAGGCCTTCTATGAAGACAAGAAGGGAATCCTGCCCCCAGGGGTCAATGTCCAGGCCTGCCAGCCTACTGTACACTGGTTGTCCACTGTACACAAGCATCTATACCCGGAGATGAAGGTCAGATTCTTTGTGTGTGGTTTTTGGTAATTTATAGTGAGAGCTATATATATATATATATATATATATATATATATATATATATATATATATATATATATATATATATATATATATATATATAATATAAAGAATATCCTCCTAGATTGTAAGCTTCGAGGAGCAGGGCCCTCCTATCCTTCTTTTATTGAATTGTATTGTTGCTGTATTGTCTCCTGTTATATTGTAAAGCGCTGAGCAAACTGTTGGCGCTATATAAATCCTGTATAATAATAATAATTATAATAGTGGTGCACTGAAATTCTGGTGCCGAAAAGGAAAATTCAAAATGCGCAGTTTTTAAAAATGAATATATATTTTTTGGAAAAAAATACACTTTGAGTAAAAAGCAAAAAAAACCACAATATGTACCCCAATTTTTATAGAATATGAAAGAGGATGTTATGTCCAGTAAATAGATACCCAACATGTCACGCTTTAAAATTGCTCACGCTCGTGGAATGGCATGAAACTGCTGCACTTAAAAATTTCCATGGGTGATGCTTTACAAATTTCTACAGGTTACCAGTGTAAAGTTACAGAGGAGGTCCAGTGTGAGAATTATTGCTCCTGCTCTGACATTCGTGGCAATACCTCACGTGTGGTTTAAACAATGTGCTTTAAAAAAAAAAAAATGGCCGGAACCGGAAGTGACATCGCTTCGGTCCTCCAAGGGCATAGAGATGAGTGGAGGTCATCTTTCCTTCACTAATCTCTATGCCCAGCACCGGGATTGTTCGATGGTTTCTCAGGTACGGCTGAGAACTACTGAGCGGCAGGTGGCGGCGAGGGGCGGGTTTTTTTGTGGCACCTGTATCGATGCTGTTTTTCATATCGGCCGATGGCTGAAAGGGGTGTTTTCGGCCGAAACGGGTGTGTAGACGTTTTATATACACTGTATACATCGCAATTTGAAGACGCTATAACTTTCTTGTATATACACTTATTGGGATTTTTTTTTTTTTTTACCAAAGACATGTAGCAGAATATATTTTGGCGTAATTGAAGAAATTTTCTTTTTTTACATTTTTTTCATTGGATATGTTTTATAGCAAAAAGTAAAAAATATTAAAGGTGTTTTTTTTTTTTTTTCTTTTCAAAATTGTCACTTTTTTTTTTTTTTTTACAGTGCAAAAAATAAAAAACGTAGAGGTGATCAAATACCACCAAAAGCTCTATTTGTGGGTAAAACGTAATACATTTCATATATGTACTTTGTTGCATGACCACTCAATTGTCAGGTAAAATAACACCATGCCGTATCACAAATAATGGCCTGGTCTGGAAGGGGGGGGTAAATCTTCTGGAGATCAAGTGATTAAAGATGACAGGCTGAAAAGTTCAACGCATTTTGCAAAATGGCTTCCGTCGGGACCTTGATATGTGTCAAGGAAGTGTAACCTGAATGTTCTTACAGAGCATATAAGAGACCAGTGGCAGCCCGGAAGCCCATGCGAAACAGATCTGGTATACAGGTTAAGGCATCTGTCATAGAAGGAGGGTATGTCAAAATGACAGGGATGGAGAGGCAACAAACAATAACGGGCTATTTTGCAAACTTCAATGTGTAAACTCCTAGGACATAGTTGTAGACTTGAGCCTTACATAAAATTCCAGCCAACTACCCTCTTATGAACTGTTTCAAAAGGGGAGGATTGTCAGGGAGAAAATCCTAAAATAATAACCCATACCACACAGCAATCGGAATCTCTGACCATTATCCTCAGATACCATCCTTGTAAGGACTGTCACACAGGTGTTGTATGGGCTGCTAATTTAGAATTTGCTCCCTTCTGAGACATATGCTTAGTTTGGATGATTTACCTGTATAAGCCGCCAATGTTTGGTATAGGAAGTACGTATATTCATGGTGATGCCTTTAAAGGATGACACTGACCTGTATACCATATCTGTTTGGCATGGGCTTGCGGGCTGCCACTTGTCTTTTATATGCTCTGTAGGGACATTCTAGTTACACTTCCTTGAAGGCACATTAAGGTCCTGAGGAAGCAATTTTGCAAAACGCATGGACCTTTTCAGCCTGTCATCTTTTAAGCACTATTTTTTGGATAATCTGTAATAAGTTATAACTACATAATGGGAAATGTATCGCCCCTACTTTTTTAATGTTCTTTTTTTATATTTTTTAAATATATTCTGTAAATAAAATGTATGAATTTTAATTACTTGTGTCATGCCTTGGTACCAGTTAAGTCCTTTTTTTCCTCACCTGATGGGAAGTTTCTTTTAGACATTAGAAATTCCAGTCAAAAGGTACATTTTGATACTACTTAGGCCCAATGAACATTCTAGAAGCTCTTTATAATGTAGCCAATCTTCACTTTGTGAGTTTGGATACAGTTTAAATTAGCAGCTCAGTGAAGACCTAGTTGAGTATGTACTTTTGACAGTTTGACTCCTGAAAACCCCACTCTGAGATAATTATCCCTATTCCCTGTCTAAATGCCCTTTTTTCCCTTCTTTTTTTCTTAAACTGTGGGCATGTGATGCCACAGCCCCATGCATTCTCCACATCTGTTACTTTCTGTTTGGGTCCTTCTTCCTTTTTTTTTCCACTATGGTGGCTGCATGACAAAGACACTTTCTATTGGATGTACAGTAGGTGGTATCCTCTCGGGATCCAAAAGAGGACAGCTTGTCATCATGGGTGTGGTAGGTGACTGGTAATCTCGGGCTCCACAGGCACTGCTGGATTTGTGGTGACCTGAAACTGGCAGCAGCTCAAAACTTGGATAGGGGTTTAGATGAGTATATTTTGATTCACATTGTAAGGGGACTAGGTATGACTAGAAGGATGGGTTAGGGAGGGTAGGAGGGGAGAGATGGGTAAAAAATTAATATTATTATTATATTATTATACAGTATTTATAAAGCGCCAATAGTTCGCTCAGCACTGTACATTACAAAGGGGGACAGAACATGTGACAGAACCATAACAATACAATGCAAAACATGAGGGGATCGAGGGCCCTGCTCTTTCGAGCTTACAATCTAGGAGGGAGGGGATGGTGGCACAGGAGGAGATAGCTGTGGGGGATGGAGTGGTAGGAAGAGTGGAGGAGGTCGGCAAGTTAGCAGGGGGTGGGGTAGGCTTCCCTGAAGAGATGGGTTTTCAGGGTGCGCCTAAAGGAGAGGAGAGTAGGTGATAATATGATGGGTTGGGGCACGGAGTTCCAGAGGATGGGTGACACCCTGGAGAAGTCCTGGAGGCGGGCATGGGAGGAGGAGACCAGGGAACTAGAGAGTAGGAGGTCTTGTGAGGAGCGGAGTGTGCGTGCTGGGTGGTACTTGGATATTAGGTCAGTGATGTAGTTCGGGGCAGTATGGTGGACGGCTTTGTACGTCAGCGTTAGGATTTTGAATTTGATCCGTTGTGCAATCGGAAGCCAGTGGAGGGATTGGCAGAGGGAGGTAGCGGAGATGGAGCGGTTGGAAAGGTGAATGAGTCTGGCAGCCGTATTCAGGATTGACTGAAGTGGGGATAACCAGCGGCGAGGCAGGCCAGTGAGGAGGGAGTTGCAGTAGTTGAGTCGTGATATGATGAGGGAGTGGATGAGCTGTTTAGCGGTTTTTGGGGTTAGGAACGTGCGTATTTTGGCGATGTTGCGGAGGTGGAGTCTGCACGAGTTTGTTAAAGATAGGACTTGGGGCTGGAAGGATAGGTTGGAGTCCAGAATTACACCAAGTACTCTGGCCTGCAGGGCGGGTTTGATGGTGGCGTTGTTGGACATGATGGAGAAGTCAATGGGGGGTGGTGTCCGGGCTGGGGGGAAGACAAGAAACTTGGTTTTGGAGAGGTTCAGTTTAAGGAAGTGGAGTAACATCCAGTCTATGTCGCTCAGTAGGTGTGTGATTCGGGCGGAGACCGAGGGGGTGAGGTGGGGGGTTGAGAGATAGATTTGTGTGTCATCGGCATAGAGGTGGTAGTTGAAGCCGTGAGAGTGTATGAGTTGGCCAAGGGAGGAGGTGTAGATGGAGAATAGAAGGGGCCCGAGGACGGAGCCTTGAGGGACCCCAAAATAGTATTAGCCTGGAATGGTCCTTTCACTGTAAGTTGAAAAAAAAAAAAAATTTTGAAAAATCGGTCATATGACTGCTGCCTTCTAGGAGTGAAAGTTGTAGCCACATGACACTAAGTTAAGATTTGTTCTGCAAAACACACAATAGGCATGACATGGCTTCTGTGCTATCAGGTAAGGCATTTTTTTTTTTGCATGCTAGTCTCATATTGAGAAGTTACGAGAATTCTCGTACGACAGAATACAACTTTGGAAGTGATGTAATGTGTGTTGTAATGTATTCTTTCGTTTCAAAACATGCGTGGTCTTGCTATTCTGATTTTTTTTTTTTTTTTTTTTTTATTTTTTTTTTGGATGAATACTGTGCCGATTAAATGAAAGTCAGAAACAATTTTCATATTTATCTCTTCTAATAAGTTCAGGTGAAAGCGGCGTACTAAATATCAGATTACTGTACAATCGCTTCAATAGTGGTATTTTTCATCCGGTTGTTTTTTTTACCGTTTGTACTATGCTTTAGTGTCTATGGCAGACTGTCACTGATGTTACTAGGACTTCACAACCAGCTAATATTGAGCTGGAGAGTTTCCATTGTACACTCAAGATACCAGCACTTACAAATGCTCACATTTATGACCATAGACAATAATTCTTTCCTGTCTTTTGGTTGCAGATTACCCATCCTGCTGGCTGCATGTCTCAGTTCATTAAGTTCTTTGGGGAGCAGATCTTTGTCTTATGGAAGTTTGCGTTATTACGGAAGCGAATCTTGATCTTCTCCCCGCCTCCTGTGGGAGTGGTGTGCTACAGAGGTAACCAACAAAAACCTGCCTTTTCACATAAAATGCTAAATGCAAGGTTCTCTTCTCCCATAGTCATATGATTAGTCCTAGTGTTCTAGTAGGAGAATTTAAAATTTAGCATCTCCCCATAAAGTAGTTGCATGGGAGGCTGCATACAGGCGACAGTTTATCTGCAATTTGATGTGAACTTCTGTGGAGGCAGCCAATTACTTTGGTGTGTGTATTACTTTATTACATGAGAGGGTGTGAGTAGGGGGGTGTTCTAGGAAATCTGTACGCTTACCCCTTCCTCTGCCATAGTAGGCATTGGCTCACTGGAAGCCTATAGCATATCCTCGCAAACACGAATTAGGATAATTGCAGCAAAAAGTAAAAAAAAAAAAAAAAACTGCAAATATTTGGAATTCAAAGTTATTTTGCTATATTTTGTACATTAGGCTCATTCTCTGCTGATTCATTAAACCTGTGTAGTTGGTTTTAGAAAATTGGAACAAAACATTGAGCTATGTTGATAGACAATGAAAAAATACTAATATGTATACTTCTTTCCTCTCCTGTACAGTTTACTGCTGTTGCTGTCTCGCCAATGTCACTTTACCAGGTGTGGGAGCTACAGCTCCAGAGTCAAAGCCTTTCTTCTATGTAAATGTAGCGGACATAGAGACCCTCGATGATGAGGTATCCTATGTAGCATGTGAGTATCTACAGTGACGCCGTGGAATTATGCCCCAAGCTTTATAACACTGCCTAGAATTTTTCTTTTTCTTTTTTCACTCACCTCTCTGGCAGTATTTGACTTGGATTGTCTCTTTGCTGAAAAGCTATGGCTGAACAAAACTCTTTAGCATTCAGTGTTTTTCTGTGTATGTTAGGTGCCTGATCACCACATGCACTGAGGTTTCTCCTTCCAGTTGCTACAGAACATTGTGTTTTTTGGGAGGAACCACAGCACACCGTGGGGGAACACAGACCTCTATCACTTCCAAAAGTGAAGGATGTGAAAAATCCTTTGGTGGCTGTTGCTGTTCATCATTGTGATGTTAATATTAACAATAAGAAAATTGTGGTGAAATTCCACTATATTTTTGTTAGTAAAAGGACATGTATGTCCTGTATTTGAAATTGTGCTGAGGCATGTGGCTAGCAGCCCTGGGTTCAGATCCAGCCACAGGGTGTGTAATATCTTCTTGTGTTTGGGTTTTCCCGAATGCTTCCACATAAAAGGAGTTGGTTTTATGGGTAAAGCATGTTTTGGAGATTTCAGCATGAAGGGGACAGCATTAATAATGGGTGTATTTAACCCCTTGGTGTCTGCAATATGCATCTATACCTGTCATTGGACTTCAGGTGGTGAATGCAAGCTCATAGCTGTATTGTTGGTACCGTTAAAGCTGACTCTAGACTTTTCAGTAAAACTGCCACCCAAAGGGTGCTGCTTGTTAACGCCTTTTTGATAGCAAAAAAAGTAAGTGGGGGGTGCAACCTTGTTGCCCCTGCACACCTGTGACAAGAAGCATACATGTATGTAAATACAATTTGCGCCACATGTGAGGTATTGCTGCAAAGTGGAGTAGGAGCAGAAATGCTAAGGCCATTATTCCCGGTTAACGGTAACACGATGACCTGCAAAGGTTTTTAAAGGGCTGTGTATCACAATTCTGGATACTGTAGTCTTTCACTGTTTCACGAGTCTAGTCAATTCTAAGGCTTGATGTATTTCGTATCTGTTTACTTGATGCAACCCCGTATTTTATATTTTACCCAAAAAAACTGGTTATTATATTGTTTTCTGTATAAAGAAAATAAGTATGTAAACATTTGCACAACTTTTGTGTGACATAAAGAATTATAGCCACCACTGTTTTATTGTACATGGCTTATGCTTTCAGAAAATCTATATTTGTTTGGGGGTTTGAAGTAATTTTCCAGCATAAAGTTGTTCTACATTCTGTGTTTGGTTGCCAGGGCCTGTGGTGACTTGTGACCCTCTCAGTTTACTACTATTGTTTTCAGGTACTACGGAGAAGATCTTTGAACAGAAGCAGGACCTCTATGATGTCTATGTCGACAACCAGAATGTGAAGACTCACCTGGAACGTCTGCAGCCACTGCTAAGAGTCAACAGTGCCGATAAAGAGAAATACCGGCGGCTCAATGATCAACGGTGACTGATGCTTATTTTGGATTAATGTTCCTACAGGCAGGGGGAGCTGCTGCGGTCAGTCTACAGTGAACAGCCGGGGTTATTTGATTTCTAACATAATTAGGATGACTTAAAGGTACTGCTGTACGGAGCGAAACAGGAGGCTGATATTAAAATGTATCTAAACTCAAAATCAAAAGCTAAATACATCACAGCTTTCCAGTCCTTAGATGTGTTGGCTGCTTTAGTTTTCTTATTTTAGGCTAAGAATATTTTCAGAAGGTATAGAAGAACGTGATGGCAATTACTTAAAATTCAGCGGAGTTGTAACTTTATTGTTCTGGGCAAGCAGACATCAGATTCCCACCTGGGACCTCTCTGCTGACATGCTTCACACAAGCACTGGGTGGTGACTTTGCTTGTCTGAAACAATAAAGTTACACTTGTATTGAAGTTTATCACCAGATTTTTCTCCCTTGAATTTACTAGTGGTTGGGGCTTAGGGCAAGTCAGTGCTCAGCTCCTGGCACCTGATCAGCTAAGTGAGTGGGCCAGCGTAATGGGCTTGTAGGCGGCAAATGTAATTCTGTAGAAAATGCCTGTTGAACCTGCCAAAAATGCAGTTTTTTGTTACTGCACACACCTTTTTTAGCTTTTTTTTGTGCAGATTGCTAAGCAAATCATCCTCTAGGTCAGGGGTCTCCAAACTTTCTAAACAAAGGGGTAGTTTACTGTCTTTCAGACTTTAGGGGTGCTGGACTGTGGCCAGTGTGGTTAAAAAGGGACTGCCATTAGTAGGAGTAAACCATGCCCCATCTTTGGTATTGGGGGAGGAATAGTGCTGCATTGTTGTCAGGAGGGGATGATGAGTGTCCCATCGATGGTGTCAGTGGACACTCTCCAGATCCCCAGGCTACAGTTTGGAAGCCACTGCCCCAGGATAAGGCAGACATATTTAATGTCCAGCATGGGAAGCAACCATGGGCCCTATTCATAGATACAGCGGAGAAGTGAATGTAGCAGCCAAGAACATGAACTGTTTTTCACAGGATTACTAGGTGAAAATAAAAGAAAAATATCTTTAAAATAGAAAACTAATTCAGCCACCACATCTAAGGACTGGTAAGCTGCAGTAGATTACATCTTTATTCTTGGGTTTAGATGAAGTTTATGTAAAATTTAGGTACTTAAAATGGTTGTAAACCCTTACATTTACCCATTGAAGTGACTGGCCTGAGGTCATATGCAGGGATGAAACAAACCTACGTAAGTTGTACCTATTTATCTGCAGTCTTTTCTCCTCTACAGCTGTTCAAAGTGCTCAATTTACAAAGCTGGTCTGAGAGGTCCAATAAAAAATGGGCGGAGAGTTGAAATTACACTTTGCAGAGTTCAGTGAGGAGAGCTATGACGGCTGGTTGGAGAGAAGGGACACACCCCCCCTGCACACAGCTCACAGGATCAGAGCTGAGGCTGTCAATTTGCTGGAGACCCTGTCACCATTTTTCTCTTGGTGTCAGGAAAACTTGTCAGAAGGAACTCATGCTGATAGCAGATGAACAAAGCAGCAATCAGAAATGACATTTGGTGCCCGTGAGACAAGTACACTCTATAGAGGGATATGCTTTGTTCATATTTTATGTCTGAGGTTTACAGCCACTTTAAAACAAGTTCCTTTTAAGGAATACAGATCTTCACTAATGTCGCTGACCTGAAACTAGCATGTGCTTATCAGGTGGCATATGGCTAACATGCACATGCTTGTTCTGGGTCAAGGACTCTGAAATTAGTGACACAAAGATGGGGATGACAGTCCTGGAGCATGCAGCTTCAAGAACAAGGCAGCACTGGCACCTCCCATAATCTCATCCCAGCAGAAGTACCTTTTAGCTGACCACACTAGAAATTCTGGGTGTACCCTCTGCACACTGCTATATAGCTGATCACAGGCACCAACAGATGGTCAGACTTGCAGTAATGATCACACCACCTAAAGAGGTCCAGTTACTGGCATATATGGAAGTGCTCAGCATGTCTTACTGCTTGTAGGTTTCTAGGTGTGTTAGCAACATTTGACTTTTGTTCTTTGTGATACCAATTCATTGTTGTCACAGCACCCTAACAGAAGAGGCTAAAAACAGTGTGTTGTGTGATAGGAATATGTTAATCGTGTTGAGAGGATGAAGTGGCATGAAGACTACTTTGGTGCCAGTGCATTTTTGCAATTGTACAATTCTTACCTTTAGGATTGTCACATGGTCTGGTTAACAACATCCAATTACAAAAAAAAGAAAAAAGAGGAGCAGCATTCCTTACCGCTAGTGTGAATGAGCCCTGCTTCCTTAGAAAAGCAGTTATGACCATGCAGAGTGTAAGGGCAGGATCAAAACATACAGAAACACATACAGTGCATCCAGAAAGTATTCACAGCGCTTAACTTTTGCCACATTTTGTTATGTTACAGCCTTATTCCAAAATGGATTAAACTCATTTTTTTCCTCAACATTCTACAAACAATACCCCATAATGGCAACATAAAAGAAATTCGTTTTGAAATCTTTGCAATTTATTAAAAATAAAAAACTAAAAAAAACACATGTACATCAGTATTCACAGCCTTTGCTCAATACTTTGTTGAAGCACCTTTAGCACCAATTACAGCCTCAAGTTGGTTTGAGTATGATGCCACAAACTTGGCACACCTATTTTTGGGCAATTGTCTCCAATTCTTCTTTGCAGTACCTCTCAAGCTTTATCAGGTTGGATGGGGAGCGTCAGTGCACAGCCATTTTTCGATCTTTCCAGAGATGTTCAATTGGATTCAAGTGTAGGCTCTGGCTGGGCCACTCCAGGACATTCACAGAGTTGGCCAGTAACCACTCCTTTGTTATGTGGGCTGTGTACTTAGGGTCGTTGTCCTGTTGAAAGATGAACCGTTGCCCCAGTCTAAGGTCCAGAGCGCTCTGGAACAGGTTTTCATCAAGGATGTCTCTGTACATTGCTGCATTCATCTTTCCTTCAATCCTGACTAGTCTCCCAGTTCCTGCCGCTGAAAAACATCCCCAGAGCATGATGCTGCCACCATCATGCTTCACTGTAGGGATGGTATTGGCCAGGTAGTGAGCGGTGCCTGGTTTCCTCTAGACATGATGCTTGGCATTCAGGCCAAAGAGTTCAATCTTTGTTTCATCAGACCAGAGAGTTTTGTTTCTCATGGTCTGAGAGTCCCTCAGGTGCCTTTTGGCAAACTCTAGGTGGGCTGCCATTTGCCTTTTACTGATCAGTGGCTTCCGTCTGGCCACTCTACCATACAGGCCTGATTGGTGGAGTGCTGCAGAGATGGTTGTTCTTCTGGAAGGTTCTCCTCTCTCCACAGAGAAACGCTGGAGCTCTTTCATAGTGACCATCAGGTGCTTGGTTACCTCCCTGGCTAAGGCCCTTCTCCCTCAATCGCTCATTTTGGCCAGGCGGCCCGCTCTAGGAAGATTTCTGGTGGTTCCAAACTTCCATTTACGGATGATGGAGACTACTGTGCTCATTGGGGCCTTCAATACTGCATGAATGTTTCTGTATCCTTCCCCAGATCTGTGTCTTGATACAATCCTGTCTCAGAGGTCTATGGACAATTCCTTGGACTTCATGGCTTGGTTTGTGCTCTGACATGCACTGTTAATTGTGGGACCTTATATAGACAGGTTTATGCCTTTCCTAATCATGTCCAATCAACTGAATTTCCCACAGGTGGACTCCAATCAAGTTATGGAAACATCTCAAGGATTAATTTTCCCAAAAATTGTAACAAAAAAATTACAACTTAAAAAAAAAAAAGATTGCGCAATTGTTTTAGCAAAAAATAAAAAACCCAGTGTTGCATAACCACTTTCCTACCGGGAACTTTTACCCTCTTTCTGCCCATGCCAGTTTTCCACTTTCAACACTGTCGCACTTTGACAATTGCACAGTCATGCAACATTGTACCCATATGAAATTTTTATAATTTTTTTCACACAAACAGAGCTTTCTTTTGGTGGTATTTAATTGCCATTGGGTGTTTTATTTTTTGCACTATAAACAAACAAAAAAAGAGCAAAAAATTGGAAAAAGTGTTCTTATTATAAAATTTTGAAAACAGGTAATTTTTCGCCTTCACTGATGTGCGTTGATGAGGCAGCACTGATGAGGTGGCAATGATAGGCAGCACTGATGGGCACTGATAGGATGCACTGATGAGGCGGCACTGGTGGGCATTGATGATGCTGCACTGATATGCAGCAATGATGGTCACCGATAGGTGGCACTGATGGGTAACACTGACTGACGGCCCTGACTGGTAGCACTGACTGATGGGTGGTATTGATGGGCGCAACTGCTGTGAGGCACTGATCATCAGTGCAGATCTCTGTGACAGCTGCTGGTTATCCATAACCGGCAACTGTATTTGCTCCATGATCTGCTGTGTCCATAGGACACAGTGATCACGGAGATCACCGGGTGCCCGCAGGAGGGCGCGTTCTGGTAGGACGTCATATGACGGCCTCCCAGAACTCGGTAACTGCGCTGTAGCTGTCATTCGGCTATAGAGCGGTTACCAACTGGTTAAATAGCAAAGGAAAGCTCTATTTTTGTGAATAAAATTTTTTTATGGGTACAGTGTTGCATGGCCTCGCATTTGTCATTCAAAGTGTGACAACATTGAAAGGTGAAAATTGGCCTGGGCAGGAAGGGGATAAAAGTGCCCGGTAAGCTGTTAAAACAGTGTGAATTGAGTGTAAATATTAACTCGTTAATACAAAAAAAAAAAACCACATTCTCGTCACTAATTGAAGGGCTTGTGTCCATTGGATTTTGTTTGTTTCAAGTGAGATTTGAATTTCCACATAAGTCTATGGGAATGCAAAATGCACTTAAAACAGGTTAAGAGGGGGGATGTTGCAAAAGGAGGTCAACTGCAAGTCAGTTTCACCTTTCAACAATTTCTGATTAGAGATGATCACCAAAAAATCTGCAAACCCTGAACATAACAACTGCACCCTATTAAATTCTAGGCAGGGGAAGCTGGGCACTGCCATGGGGGGGTAGGGGGTGTAAGAGACATGTACCAATGCAAAAAAAAAAAAAAAGTATTCAGTAAGAAGCTGGTTTTTCTAATGCAACCTTAAAAAGCAACATTTCAAATACACATTTCTTATTGTAGAAATATGTCCTGTTGACACCAATCTTGGAATGCACTATTCCTGTCACACTGACACTAATGTAGAGGCAGAATCTGTTATTTAGTGTGTGTGTGTGTGTGTGTGTGTGTGTGTGTGTGTGTCACGTGTCTCAGACATTACTTATATAGCCAGTGGAGCTTTATCGTTACTTGTATTTTGAAGGCCATATACAGTCATGGCCAAAAATATTGGCTCCCCTGCTTTTCTGTCAGATAATACGCCACTTCACCCAGAAAATTGTTGCAATTAGAAATGCATTTCTGTCAGATAATGTCAGATTTCTACGTTTTTGTGTTGTACCAATACAAACAAGAAATAAACATGAGAATGCCTAAATATTTGTAAATGCAACAATTTTCTGGGCGAAGTTGGGCTTTATCTGACAGAAATGCAGGGGTGCCAATATATTTGGCCATGACTGTATATGTATTCACGGAGCACCACAAAGGTGTGGTCAAGTCTTGTTTCCTGTATGCTCTATGGGCGCCTATGCTGGGAAATGTTACTGCGCTTATTTATGAATTCTAGAGATATTTATGTATGTAATGCTGTATGTTATAGTGGTAGATTAGGTATTGTGATGTGGACATTAATGTTATTTGACAACGTCCGTTTCTAATTGTGGAAGGTGAAAGTGGCATTTTTTATTTTTTTTTACTATGAATTTTTGTTGCAATAAAAGAATTCTATATTCAATAAGTCAAGCTGCGTGGATCCTTTTAAGTAACCACTTTTATCAGTAGGTCTTTTTCTTTGTAGGTTTCTGGTTTGCATCGTACAGATAGGGTGATGGATTGTTGTGTCATGACCATCTTTTAGACTTGTATGTGTTTTGGCATTTAAACTGTAGGTATTAATTTTTGTTATTCTAAAGTTTGTTCGTCCTAATTTCAGGCAGCTTCTGATGTACACACAGGAAGTGGATGGAGACTGCTCATCGTGCGAGGAGGATCTCTTTATCCTGTGAGTAATCCAGCTCAGAACTCATTACCCTGTGTATTTTTACCACAATGCTCCTTGCACCCTTCTCCTGAAATTATTGTAAGCCCATCGTAAGGTTAGTAGGAAGACTGCCATTGCTGATCTCCTTTTGATATTGCTGTCTGTTATGAATTCCTATTGGCCAGTATGGCAGCTGTATTAGTCATGGACAATTAGTCAATAGGAATGTATATGGGGTAAGGAGAGCATGGGCCAACTTTGATACTACCATTTGAAGCTAGAAGAACCACCTTGGGCCTTGCGTGGCACCTGCATTATATACCCAACTGCAGCTTTGTTGTGATGGTCATAATAAAAATAAAAAAACTTTTCCCTCCTGCTGGTTAAGTGCATAATGTGTTAGCATGCATTCCATAGTAGCACATTCTGAAAGACTTGACTTAAAACAAAGCCCTCGAGCGGTGCACTGTCACCGCTTCCAGGTTCACCTGATCTTCCTTCTTGGTTCATGGGCTCCTGCCGTTTGAATGACCGAGCCATGATAACGCCATGGCACTGAGCTTTGAAGGGACGACATACTTTACTACACATGCATCGGTGACATCAAGTAGTGAATACCTCCTGAAGGGTACATGTTCCTTGTACCTATAGGAAATCTTTATTATAAGCTTACCTGTAGGTACAAGTGAGCATGCAGTGTTTTCTACTCCACTGATTTATAAACAGGAAACACATCATCTATCATTATAAAAAAAAAATGCGTACCTCTGAGCCTCAGTTCCTTGTGTTTTTCTCATTTGTGTACCAACAAGAAGCATCTCGTTTGTTCGGATCAGTGTTCTTTGGTTGCAAGACCTCCCTGTCCAACTGCCTAGCTTTTGCACTTGGGTGACAGTTGGTATACATAGGCAAATGTTGTCCTCAGGAGAAGGAAAAATAAATTTTAGCTTTTTTTCCTAAAGTGTTTTTTTTTTTTTTTTTTTTTTTTCCCTCTCAATGCCCAAGGTAGTGACTTATATGGGATATGTAGTAGACTCCAATCAGATAAAAATCTTTCTCACAGAACAAAAAGATAGATAAATTGATTAAGGTTGATTTATGAAAGTATTGGGTCTCATGGCTGTTACCATACCGGCAGTAACTTGAGTTTAACTCCATACAAGACCTTTACAAAACTTCCTCCTCTCCCATTGGGATGGAAATGCGGCAACATTTATTTATTTCAGGTACTTATATAGCGCCGACAATTTACGCAGCGCTTTACATACATATATTGTACATTCACATCAGTTGCTAACCCTCAAGGGGCGTACAATCTAAAGTCCCTAACTCACATTCATACATACACATACTAGGGACAATTTACACAGGAGCGAATTAACCTACCAGCATGTCTTTGGAGTGTGGGAGGAAACCGGAGTACTCGTAGGAAACCCACGCAGTCACAGGGAGAACATGCAAATCCAGGCAGGTGATGCTGGGGTTGGGATACGAACCAGCGACCCTAGTACTGCCAGGCAGAAGTGCTAACCATTTAGCCACTGTGCTGCCCAACATGAGAAGATTCAGTCTGCATCCCCTTTCAGATCAAAGAATCAATGCTGTGGTGGCTGAACAAAAAACCTACAGACTGGGACAACTGTGAGTATAGACCAATAGTCAGAATAACCACAGATATGAGTGCATGGGGATGGGGCGCGCACCTAAATGAGCTAGCTCAAAGTGCCTGGAACAAGATCTGGTCTGTGAATCCTCCAACATGGTGGAACAAGCCTTGTACCACATTCAACAACAGGTCAAAGGAAGGCACGTAGAAATTCTATCAGATAATTTCACAACCATTGCCTGCATCAACAGACAAGGGGGGGGCAGCAGAGAGACCCCTGTTTAATGACTCTAGTAAAGTCCTAAACTGGTCAGAAATTAACCTATTCTTCCTATCAGCTGTATATCTAAAATGGAAACAAAACTCACTGGCAGAAAAAAGTTTAAAACCCAATGGAATCCGCCTTGGACCAGGAAATGCACTTAAAGAGAAGTAGGGCACTCCAGGCATAGACCTATGTGCTTCAAGAGCCAATGCCAAGACACTGAAATTCTTTTCCCGGACAAAGAACAGTGAGATTGTAGGCCTAGATGCCTTTGCGCAGCAGTGGATGTTTACCTTGCCTATGCTTTTCTCCTGATCAACCTGATCTCCAGGGTAATTCAAAAGATTGAGAGAAATGCCAGAGTTTTGCTTATTGCCCTTCGCGCTGGCCTCGGAGAGCATGGTTTACTCATCTGCAAAGAATGAGTACATAGTCACATATTTCACTGCCTCTCAAAGAGAACTTCTTGCAGCAGGGTCTATCCACCCATCTGCATCTGAAAACTCTCAGCTTGCTTACTAAAAGGGTGTTGCTAAATAAAAGATGTTCAGAAAACGTTATTAACACAATTGGCTAGCAGGAGAAAGGTAACCATAACAATATACAGAAACATTTTGAAAGAACTTTGAGGCTCATTTGGAACAAGATAGGCCTCTCATCCCAACTAGATAGCGTATGTACTCTCCAGCGCCTCAGGATATGCACAGCCAAAAGGGAAGCCAAGGGTACCAGGACAGCGACAACCAAAAGGAAATGTTCCAGGGGTGCAGCCCTCCTCAGATGGGGAAATCAGCCACTGGATAGAGAGAAAACAGGTGGCGCACACACCTAGTGCATTATCCAAGGTTTATTGTAGGAATTAAATCATAAAAACATACTCACAGACGAAGCATGTATCTAAAAAGCATAGAAAAATGACAATGGCCACAACGGCGGGCAAGGTGTTCTCACTGTCAGTGCGGTCAAATGGCTGACGCATTTCGGGGACGAATCCCTTTCCTCAGAGCTGATGACCAACCTCTGATGCTGATGTATGATGAATGGAAAGTAAAGTAAGAGCCTCGCTGTTGATGCCTCAATAATCCTTGGATAATGCACTAGGTGTGTGTGCCACCTGTTTGCTCTCTCTCATCCCAACTATCCTGGACTTTCTACAAGATGCAGCAGATAAATTATCTCAGAACACACTCAAAGTATAGGTCTTAGCAGTTTCCTGGACTCAAGATTGGCAGAAGAACCCTTCAAATCCATCACTAAGACTAGGCCACCACCCTAAAGGAACTTTCCTTCTTGGAACCCTTTCAGCAGATCTACAAGGGTTTTTAAAACCTTGAACCATCAAAGACTATCCCAATTAAATCTTAACTCTCAAGACAGGTCTTCTAGTGTTGCTAGTATCGATTTGCAGGGTGAGCAAGTGCCAAGCTCTTTCTATCTTGGAGCCCTATTGTATTATAGGTATGGACAAAATCATTTTAAAGCCAGATCCAGCTTTTCTACCTAAAGGTGCTTTAGCATTTCACATAACCCAGGATATTATAACATCCTTCAGGTTTAATGCCACCAACAAAAAAGAAGCATACTACAGCCTAGATGTATGAGGATGCCTCATGACGTACTTAGAAAAAACGAAAGAAGGGCGGAAGACATCAGCTATGTTCATATTTTTTCTCAGGGCTTAATAAAGGTAAAGGAGCCTCCAAATACACCATCACCAGATGGATAAGAGGAGCTACATTGCATATACATTAAACCAGAAAATTCCTGAAGGAATTATAGCACATTCCACAATAAATTGGGTGTTTTCCTGGGCAGAGAGAGCAGGAGCCATACCTGATCTGCAGTACAGCGATATTGGCGAATTTTCATACCTTCGCCTGCCATTACAGGATAGGCATCCTACCAAGCCAGGATCAGGCCTTTGATAGGAAGGTTATCCAGTCTGTGTGTATCTCTCTTAATAAATATTGCATGCTAATCCTGTCAGTGCTGCCCTAGAAGATGACTTGAGAAAACGGAGTTGGGTTCCTGGCAACTCATTTTTGGGAATCTTCCAGGGCAACACAGCTTCCCATTCCTATACTTCTACCTTTTGAGTTGGTGGTATTTAGGCATTAGGGGATTATGTATATATTACCTGTTGTTCCTCTGGTACTGTAGTATTGCTAATGCTCAGGGGTACGTCTGTTTTTCTTATAATGGAGGATGATGTGTTTCCTCTTTCTCTCAACGCTACTCTGGAATATTCCCAGAAAATGAGGTACCAGGTACCTTACTCCGTTTTCAGGCAATGTGTATAGATCTATAATATTTATCTCAAAATAGTCTTGAAATGTTCTTACTAGTGCTGTACCATGTTTAATTCTTGTATTTCTTATACAGACTTCGATTTTTGATTTCCACTAGTCGCTTTCTTATTCTGTAGGCATTTCCCCGTCTGGTAAACAACCGCTGAAATAGCAGTTTGTTGTTTATTTCATTCAGTCATATCTGACCCATAGGCCACCCATAAACTGCTTGATAAAAACAAGAAATGCTTATGATTTTGAGACTGCAGTTATCAGGATGTTTATGAACTACAAAAGGTTGATGGGGAGTTCCCCAGGAGTTTACTGCAGAGGGAAATTTTGCTGGTCCTTATTCTTTACTCCCCTACAGAATGGAGAATTATTATTGTGTATTATACAGGATTTATATAGCGCCAACAGTTTGCGAAGCGCTTTACAAAATGAAGGTAGACATTACTGTTACAATACAATTTGGTACAAGAGGAAACGGAGTGCTCTGCTCATTAGAGCTTACAATCTAGAAGAAGCAAACTTACCCAAGTTGCCAGCCTCATGATAGCTCCAGGCAAAGGTTGTAGTCATGGGGAGAAATATCTGCCCATCTATAGATTTCCAGCGAGTGAGGAGCAGCAGATACTACCATTGTGCTACACTACTAAGTGTGTATTGTGTAAATATGTCTGCCTCCATGTACCTCTGTAAATATAAACCACATATGTTGAAACGTAAGCTCATGCATATTGCTAAAACTGAATTTAATGTATTTTGCAATGCAACTACCTAAATTTGACTTGACATTCCCATAGTCATCTGTACAGTAGCTGTGCGAGGGCGAGGGGAAGTACTTGGCCAGTTAGGTGTACTACAAGCTGAAGGAACATGCTAACGGGAAGTGTGAGCAAAGAGATGAGCTTATCAGTCTGCTGCTCCTCTTTCACTATCCATTCACAGTTTGGGGACAGGGTGGTGACCTAGCTGGTCTGCCCTAACAACAACAGAGAAAAGTCAGGTCACCAGGTTGGTTTGGCTGTTTGTCTGGCTGAGCTGTGTAAAATGCAGGACTAACAATGCAAATTATTTGGCAGCTGAAAACCTTTCCCATATACTGTATGTATTTCAACAGTTTGCCTGTAGTTCTGGTTTAAACCCATTTGAATTTTCATGGGTGATGTGCTTATTAGAGATACAGTAAAGCAGGCTATAGACGGAGAGAAAACCGGCGTTTTTTTTTTTTTTTTTTTTTTTTTTTAAACGAAAAATTGGCCGTTCAGTCGGCCGACGTTACCACCATTGTAAAAAAAAAAAAAAAAAATCGGCTGATTTTCGTCCCGTCTACAGCCAGCAAATATAATAGTGGTGTCCCTGCAGAGAGCTCCGCTATTATATTTGACATTTAAAAGTATAGCAAAGTTGCAACATTGTATCTATTTGTATCCATTTCGGATACAGATGTTTTTATTTGAATACAAATAGATACAATGTTGCAACCGCTATATTTTTAAATGTCAAATATAATAGCGGAGCTCTCTGCAGGGACACCGCTATTATATTTGACATTTAAAAGTATAGCGGTTGCAACATTGTATCTATTTGTATTTGAATAGAAACATCTGTATCCAAAATGGATACAAACAGATACAGATGTTCTTCTTTTTCTTTGTCCATCTTCTTCTTTTTATTCTTTTCTTGCAGGTCACGGTTCATGCGCATTTTTTTAATCGGTAGAAAGATTGGCTGATTTTGCCCATTATTAAAGTGAAAATCGGCTGATGGACAAAATCGGCCGGTTTTTTTTCCAACATGACCAATTAAAAAAAAAATGTGTCAATCACAAAAAACGGCCGACCAATTCACCCACTAACGATCCGAAAATCGGCCGATTATTCTTTCGAACGAATTTTCAGCCGATTTTCGACTTATCTATAGCCTGCTTGAAGCAGATATGGAAAAGATTCAAAAGGTTGTTGTCACTGCTGCAGACAGCTGTGTCAGAAAAACCTGGCTATTCAACAATGGCTGTCACCACTGAAAGTCTCCATTGGCAGCTAATCAGATTTAATTTTTGATCTGTCATAGAGACTAGAAGAACATGCCTAGCTGCTAGTAAGCCTCACAGAAAGCCCTTTGTTTGGACTCTTTTGGTCATGAGGCCCAGATTCACACTGTCACTTATGAGAAAGTTTTCTTGCCAGTCCCATTTATTTTCTTCATCTTTCATTTTTTGCAGCTTCTTTATGGAACAGAATAATCGGATATTCCAGACCCTCCTGGAGGTGGCGGCCAGTCAGGATAAGACTCTAACAGCTGATCATGCCCGCAGTATGGGCCTCGATCCGCAGGGTGACCGTAACTTTCTCCTGGACCTTCTGGAAGTTTATGGTTTTGACCTCATGTTGGTCATAGATAACCCCTGCTGTCCCTAACAATTACGTAGGACTCCGGTGAGCTGTCCGGTGCCTCTTATGTAAATACCTGTATGTATTAAGGCTGGGGAGGCCGGATGGAGAATTCACCCAGCAGGGGCAGAAGCAGAACTGGCAACTTCTTCTTATAAGATCGGTAATGATGGCGTTGTCAAGTCTTGGGGCTCATAGTTCCAGCTGTCAAAATGTGAACATTTTCTGAATATTGTTTACCAGGCTGCGACTCCCTTTATGTAGCTGGGTAAAGAGTAGGTTTGGCTGTGAGATTGCAGCCTAAATATTCATGAAGAACTGGTGATGTAGCAGAGATGTGACAATTTTAATTTTAAAAGGACCGCAAACATTTTCCATTCTTAGCACTAATGACGATTGCAAAGATTTTCACTTTTTACACTGGAACAAGCTACACCCAACAGTTTTAATCCAAAAGTGCAGTTAGGGCTACATTTGGGGGTATAAACTTGTCAAGTATTTGAAGTGTAAGCGTAATCGTAAACAAATGCAGCATAAATGACACTGCAACACTGGCCAGACTGCAGCATGTTGAGCTCTTGCGTTCTTCCTCCTCACCTAGGATCTTGGAATACAGAGAGGCAGGGTCTGTGACATTGAGTCAGCACATCCTGTGTTCTAGGTGGGCAGGAGCGGGATGCAAAGGATTCTGGGTGCCACGGGCTAGCCTTTTCTAAGCAGTTAGCATTTATGCTTCATGCGGTATTAGGTTACGTTTCCCTTTATGCAAATGCTTGAATAGTTTAAACCCTTGACAGTATTCATAGCAGCATTTGTCTTTTAAAATGGAGAGCCTGGGGGCCTGTATATACGTAGTGTTGTGGAAACATGCACAGCAATGCATGTTAAATGAATTTGTGCGTTAGGGTGCTATTTGTTTAAATGGCACCCTAACACACCTTACTGATGGACATTAATTGCAGTGAACTTATATGTGTTGTGGTATGCTGCCAGAAAATGGGATGCATGACTTTTATATGTTTTAGTATGACTGACTGCTAACACATTGAAGCAATGGGAAGCCATACAGCTTACATGGTGCTGTATTGCATGTCTGTCAGCAAGGTGCACGGAGCAGCCATTTAAATGAATAGCACCAAAGCATTTGATGTGTGTTGCGGTAAAGCACACATCGCCACAATGTTATAGCGTAATTGCATCCTGTGCATTAAAGGAGATCTCCATCAAATCATATCAGCTGCTGGAAGGCATAAACGTATCCCCAGTCCTCTTGTACACTAGTCTACAGGTCTTGCTTTTAGCAGTTCCTCCAGTTCTCAGGCTACCCTGGGTGTCAGAGGATTTCTGTAGGTCTGACCCCACTAGCTGATAGGGTAGTTAGAGGACAGTTGGACTAAGAAGCATTGTACTTTGTAATTCAGGACACGATAGGACAGCTGATGTTAGAATGTTTGCAGTTTTCTTTTCCACAGCTAATACGCTGTGGAGTGTTTCTTTTAAAATATTTGTTAACCTAAAAAAGCTAGGTTGCTTTATGCAAAAGAGCTCCTGTTGTCACCCTGTATAACTGATGTACTTCCTGCGCTACATTTAGCGGTCAAGTGTTAGGTATTCCCATCAAGTTTTGGGTACACTCTCCTTTTTGCCTTCAGAACAGGTCTTTGAGGGCACAGTCAACAAACTTGTGGGAAACCTTTCTTAGGATTTTAGCTGCATGTGTGTTGTGAATAGACATTAATAGGACATCAAATTACACGGCCTATTCTCCGCGTACTAAAAAGCCAGCTTAGTGTAGAGTTGTCACCTTTGTGATCAGATTTGCATCCCAGGTAGATCATCGTATCATGGGGTCAGGTCCATACTACCAGGGTTGGACTGGTCCATACCTCCCAGCTGTTCCAAAAGTTCTATCTACTGTATATTTCTTTTCTATGAGTTACCCTGCAGCATCCCGATTGGCTGACAGCTGCAAACACCCATTGACTTTTTACTGGTGGGGATGAAACTGTCATCCTTATTCATGCACAATGCAGGACCTGCAGTTCTGCATTGTGAAGACTCCAAGGACCTGCCCATAGCCTGGAGCATTGCCACATTCTGATTTATGAACCCTGAGAGGCTGTTGCAGTAAATGATCTCTGGTATGAGATAAGTGACAGAATTTATGAAGATTTGTCCAGGTCTGATACAATACAAAGTAATTGTAGCAAAGTTTGACATAATGTGATCTAAAAGTGGCTCTCCAGGCTCCCCCCCATAAAAAACATTTAAAGTCAGCAAGTACAAATACTGTTGTTGCTGACTTTTATTTTGGGGACACTTGCCTATCCAGGGATCCAACGATGTCCACACCCCAACCGATTCTTCAGTTTGCTTCGAATGCAGGTGCCAGCATCTTAAGTAAGGGAAACTGGTAGTGAAGTCTTGCAGCTTCAGAACTGGTTTCCTACTGCATATGAATTGTCCCAGAAGGCTGTGGGGGGGGGGGGGTTGGAGCTACTTCTGGGTCATATCACAGTGGCGATCTGACACACAAAGTACCCTCTTCCCCCTCCCCTCCAAAAAGTGCCAAATGTGACAGTGGAGGGGGGAGAATGCAAACAAGCGGAACATCCCCTTTTGGGTGACGTTCCGCTTTTAGTCCACAATGAAAACCCTACAGCCACCATAAATTACTGTTGATATTTAAGCTCAATAGCTGTTCCTAAATAGAGGAGGAAAAAGCATTTTGTATTTTTTGGCATCCTTCGCATTCCTGTTACAAGGATTCTTCTGTTGATGCTGCAGATCAGCTTACTTCTACTCATTGAAGGGGAGGAGTACAGCTTGTTCACATTGGAAGGTTGACAAGGAGTGCACAATTTTATGTTTTTGTATGACTGACTACTAATGCGTAAAAAGAAAGTCACAAAAGACTTTTTTTTTCTTAATTTTTTTTTATTATACTGTATCACTGTATACTGTATCAGTGACTGCCAGAGCCATGATAGGTGACCCTTGATGATGCAGATGGCAGCTCTATTGTGATGACCTCCCGTTCCTTCTCTGTATCATTACACTGTGAACTCGGGTGACGCAGTGACACCCCCATGATGCGCTGCCCTTAGTTTTTCAGGTTGAATGGCTCTGGGTGTCATTGAACCTGGAAGACTGGGGACATCTAGTGATGGAAAGGGATTACTGTGGGACACATCGCTGAATTGGCAGTGAAGCATTGCAGCTTACTGGGTGACCTTTAAAAAAAAAAAAAAAAAACACCATACAATTCTGCCTGGTAATTTTTACCAGGGGCTTGGAAAGCTCTTTTATATACATCAACCTTTCATTTTTATTTAGTGCTAATTTTAACAAATTCCAGAGGCTTGAACGAAGTTGAGAAGCCAGTTTGTGTTATAAGAAGTCTGATTAGTCAGTTTTAACCATCTCTGAGTTCCATTGTACTGTTGACACTGCCCAAGATGGAACAGAGGTGGGACCACAAGGACCAAGCTACTTTGAGAACACTGTTAAAGACTTTTACTCTGTGCTGCGTCTCTGTGGAGTCCAGCCGCGAACCACTGAAGAATGACGTTCATGTAAATAATACGTGTAACTTAATTTGTAAAGAAGAGGAAATGAAAATATTGTTTGTTGAAATGAACAGTTATGCTAATTTAATGAAAATGATAATATGTTTATGTGATGAAGGGAATCTATCACTCTGCACTTTTAAAGAGACCATTCCACAGTCCTCATTCAGTCAAATGCCTTTCTCTAAATCCTGTTGTACGCTACATAGTACACTCTGGCTGTGTCACTCCTTTACACTGCCTGCATTAAAGTAGATGTAAACCCTACCTGGATGACATTTGAATCAAAACAATTGCATTGTTCCCCTGGATCTGATAAAACTGTTGTACAAATATTATGTTACATAACAATTACTACTTCCATCTTTTTTTTTTTTTTTTTTTTTTTTTTAAGGCTTCTGCATTCAGAAAATATATAACGATCCATTTTATAATGTGGAAAAAATGGCTCCAGAGGGTGGTGGAGATTGAAAACCACTTTTCAAATAAATTACACTAACATGATAAAGGTCCTATAAGATTTTAGGTATTGGGTTTACATCTACTTTGTTACATTTGGCTATGTTTCACAATGCAGGCAACCCCCCCCCCCCCCCCCCCCCACCCCGGACAAAACAAAATTTTAACTGATCTCGGATTCAACAACGTGCTGCATTGTCCAAACATTTTGTACAATGTGTACCTGTGTAGGAGCAAAGTGCATGTAAATGTATATATTTTTGTTTTACAAGCTCTCAGAAAATAGTATAAATGCAGGGTGTAGAAATGCATACAAACCCATGATTATGGATAGGTATCATCCTGTGATATAAGACATGTTTGAGAGCAGGCAGTTGGAATGAGCAAATACATCCTCAGGGTCCCTTTTATGATTGTATCCTAAGGTTAGATTTATAGAAAAGTGTGAAATGTCACTCCAGGGTGGAAACTGCCGCAATAGAATGTGACATGTCAGTGGTAAATGGGGGTGAGGTACATGTGGTTTGGCATTCTTCCATTGACAAGAGGGCCTGTCATGTAGGTTTTCCATCAAGGCGCATTTGTGAATGATTTAAATTTAAAGTATCACTCCCTTGGGAGACCTATATGTTCTGAATCTCTCATGATGCATCAAGTTGTTAGTGATTGTATAGGATCGTAAAACAAACAAAAAATGGGTTTGTACTTAGCTGCTTTGTGTTGTGGTTTTGCATAGAGCAGCTCTGATCCTTCTCTTTTTGGGTCCTCTGCTGGCACTCCTGGCCTCTCCCCTTGCCCAGTGCCCGCAGAGCTGCTTACTATGGAGGCACTTGTGTGGGCTCACTCCTGAGCCAGCTGTGTGTGTCCCTAAGACATACAGAGAATGGCCTGCCTCTGCTTCAATGGCTGTGATTGACAGAGTTGTGTCTGAGCCAATAAGAAGAGAGAGGGCCCCTGCTCTTGTGCACATCGCTGGATGGAGATTGGTCTCAGGTAAGT